GTGCTGAAATTGAAAGAGCAGTAAAACATCCTTCTCAGGAACAAAATCCAAGGACCAGCTAGCTTCTCCTTGGAATTGTACCAAAATCATTTTTAAAAATCTAATATTTATTCTACCCAAACTGTTCAAAACATTGAAGGAGGAAAACTCCCCAACACATTGATGAGACCAATATTACCCTGATCCCAAAATCAAACATAGTACAAAAACAGAAAAGTATAGTCCATTATCTCTGATCTGATGAATAGAGATACAAAAATCCTCAACTAAATTCAGGCAAAGCAAACACAGCAGCATACTAAGAGAATGTTTACCACAATCAAGAAAGCTTTATCCCAGGGATACAAGACTGATTCAACATAAACAAATTAAATATGTGACCCATAAGATCAACAAAAAATAAAACAAAAACATGAAAAAGAAAAAAAGAAAAGCATTAGAGAAGATCCAATTTATGAAGAATTAGAGAAGATCCAATTTTTATCCATTTATGATAAAAACTCTCCAGAAAAGGGAATAAAAGGAACCTATCTAAATATAAAAGTTATGTATGACAGTGCTATTGCTAATATTATACTCAATGGTGAAAAGCTAAAAGCATTTCATTATGACCAGGAATAAGTCATGAATGTCTACTACGACTATTAATCAACATAGTTTTGGAAATATTAGCTGAAGCAATTTGACAAGAAAAAATACATAAGAGTTGGAGAACAAGTGAAATTGTCACTGTTCACTTAGAGAAGAAAAACTCTGGAAATAATAAATACAGACAGTAGGTGGTATGATGTAAAATCAACACACAAAATCCAGTAACACATCTATATGCAAACAATGTATCAGGAGAAAAGGAAATAAGGAATAAATTTTCATTTATAATCATAGCAAAAGAATGAAGTACCTGAGAATAAACTTAACAAAGGAGGTGAAGGACCTGTACAACAAAATCTTTAAAACTCTGTTAATCCGTACTCATTAACTGGAAGAATTAACATCATTAAAACGGCTTTCTTGTTCAAAACAATTTAAAGATTAAATGCAATAGCTATCAAAATATCAATGGCATTATAAGGAACTAGAACAATTATCAAATTTACATGAAACCACAGAAAGATCCCAAATAGCTAAAACATTCTTGAGAGAAAAGAAGGAAAATGGAAGATTATACTTTCTGACTTCAAACAATATTACACACCAATAGTAATAAAAACAATATGGTACTGGAACAAAAACAGAAATTCAGACCAATGAAATAGAATTAAAAGCCCAGATGAAACTGTGTACATTTGGACAGTTAATCTGGTAAAGGAGCTATAGATTTACAATAAAGAAAATATAGCCTCCTAAATAAAAGATTCTGGGAAGCATGATAGTCACATGTCAAAAGATAAAACAAGACCAATATTTAATTCCATAATTAAAGGAAACAAAAGCAAAAATATACAAGTTGAACTAAATCAAACTTAAAAGCTTTGTACCGCAACTGAAACCATCATAAAAAGACAACCTGCAGAATGGAAAAAATATTTGCATACTATACAACTGACATGAGGTTAATCTCCAAAATTTACAAAGTACTTAACAATCCAACAACAAGGAAGCAAACAACCAAAAATGGGCAAAGGACCTTAACAGACACTGTTTAAAGAATACATTTAGATGACCTTCAGGCATATGAAAAAAATATTTAGCATCACTTTATTATAAGATAACTGAAATTTAAAGCTACATTGGGGTACCACTTCATCCCAGTGAGAATAGCCCATATATAAAAAAGAATATAATTAACAAATGTTGGTGAGATTGTGATATAGAAAAAAGGAACTCTCATCCACTGTTGTTGGGAATGTAAACTGGTACAGCCCCTGTGGAAAATGGTGCTGAAATTTAGCAAGAAAATAAAAATGGAAATTACATATGACCCAGCAATACCTCTCTTGGGTATTTATTCAGATAACATGAAAACTCTAATACAAAAAAATATATATCTATGTACATGTACATAGCAGCACTGTTCACTATTGTCAAGCCATGTTATCAACCCAAGTGCTTTTCAAGAGATGAATGACTAGAGAAACTGTGGAGTTGTGAATAAAGATGAAATGGTGGCATTTGGAACAAAATAAAGGGACCTGAAGTGATTATGCTGAGTGAAATCAGTCAAAAATAAAAGAATATAGCAGGTGGTTTCACTTATCTACAGACTATAGATGCCCAAAGAATGATTGTTTGCAAACAATGGAGGGAATTAAATATGAACTTGGAAAAAAAGAAAGATAAAGGTTGCCAGTGGGAACAAGGAAACTGCTGAATAGGATGGGGCAGGAAGACAGATATGGATGATTTGGTGGAGGGGAAAAAATTATGCAAATAAGCATTATAAAAAAAAAGCCGGCCCTCCCTGGTGGCGCAGCGGGTTAAGACACAGCACTGAGAATCTGAAGCCACTTCCGCATGAGTTCGATTCCCGCCTGCCCCGGAGGTGACCACATGGCGCGGCAGACCTCTCCTGACCCGCCCGCTGCTACCCTCAGCAGTGTATTTCGTCCATCTGCCTGTTCTGCTCCCCGCTCTGTCTCTGGTGAAGCCTCTCACCGCCCCTGAGCCTCTGGCCTGTACCCCAGTTCTGTATGCACAAATAAATAAATCTTAAAAAAAAAAAAAACGCCTATAACATTTCCTTGTGCTCTAAGGGTAACTTGAAAACTCACACAGACTAAAACTTATAGTTTAATCATTAAAATCAATATTGAGTAAATAATAATAATAACATTAGAAAAACCAAAGTTGAGAAAATATCCCAGAACAGAAAATCTCCCAACTTTTGGTTGTCAATACTAATTAGCAGAAGCCACCCATGAGCTTATGTGAAAGGAAATAGAAATATGAAGAAAACTGATCAATGTTCTAGTCAATAGGGTAGCCTCAGAGATCCCTGTTTTTGCTCACTCTATCAACACAAGTGACACCAGTACTAGAAGCATGGAAGATCTTACAAATTCCCATATGTATCCCAGGGCAGGGATAGAATGGGAAACTCTTTCTACGGGGAGAACATTTTTTTCTTTTCCCTGTACATGGAGATGACCTACCACACATTGTAAGAGACCAGGACACAATGGAATTACATGACATGGAAGCCAGTGACAGTTTTTTTGTCATTCCCATGCTAGATAACACTTAAATTTCAACCTCTGTATGTCTTAAATTTCCCAGCTATTTGCTTTTTGGTGCTACATTTGACACAAATTTCTACAAACGCACTACAGAAATGTCTGCCTGTCACCCATCAATCACATTGTATTTCCTCGAGACTTTCTTCAGTTTCTCTTTTTCTCCATAATGTTCCTATTCTCTTATTTTTGCCATATGTATTCTGCTCTTTTGTCTTCAGTTATACTTTAAACAAGGTCTCTATGGCCATCATGTTCCGATGTCATGCTTATCTTAGTGTCTTGGGAATATTTTTACTATGCCTTTGGCACTTGGGCTATTGGTTTCGTTCCATGTTTTGTGTTTTTGTCAATGAGTCATCTTTGGGGGAATGTCCTAGTTAGGTCTCCCTGTGGGCAGTAGTGTTGGTCCTAACTCCCATACTAAGGGTTTGCTGTTTCCAGTGTTATTTGCCAGATACTTTGATGTTTTTCATCTAGGAAAAGCATTCTCCTCCCAAAGTTTGCTGTGCAGCTTTATGGTTCAATTTAGCAGTTTTGAGCAAGAAAACTACTTTACCTCAGGGATTTATATTCCGGTTGGTTTTGAGTTCAAAGAAGGGATTACCCGTTTCTGGATCCAGACCTTGCTTAAGTATCCCTAAGGGACCAGTTCTCTGATGTAAATGGCCTCAGATCTCAATGTCTCCCCAAGGTAGGAGGTTATGTCTCAGCTTCTAAGGAGGAATACACCTTGCCTCCTACCCCTGACATATCTCTGGTCTTGGAGAATTCCACCTAGCTCCACATTTATATTTGTAATTGTCTGGTGTTTTATATGTAGAAAAACAGGTGTGTATTCCATGACAGCTGAGTTTACCACAAAGTTGGCATGTTATTTTCATCATCATGGTCACACTGGCCACAAAACAGCTGCAAGGAAGGAAAGTAAAGGGATCTGAGCCACGCAAGTCAACAAGATTTTACAGAAATCTTCCAAAATCCATCCCTTCAAGAATTTTTTTTCTTTTTGTATCTCATTAGCCAAAATTTAGTCAATACAAGATAATTGGAGATAAGCAATTTTTCACCTGGGCACACTAAAACTTCCAACCAATTGAGCTGTGTTAGTTAGAAAGCCTACCATCCTCCCTAGCAACCACAATTTGTCACAGGGCCCTCTGTGAGCTGCTGTCTCCAGTCCCCTGTTAATTTCCAATATTTAAGCATCATCCACTTTTCTGAACAAAGTCCAAACTGGATTTTGACTACTTTGCACAACAACCTCCACAACCTTGGGTAACACTTGACACTTGTTCTGTATCTGCCATTCTTGATAGACTGCACTTAGTCATCCTAGAATTCAGCATTGGAGACTCAAATCTTTCTTTACCTTTTAGTGGGTAGATGGACAGGCAGACAGATGGATTGATGGATAAACTGACAGATGAACAATGTTCCACTCTCCCATAACTATTGAGTTTAACAACATGCTATTTCCTTTACCTACCATGTTCTTCTATAAGTCTCCACCTAGCTAATTCTTGTCCACACATTTTCAGCTGAGATTTTCTCTCTTCTAGAAAGTTCTCCCTGACCACACCTGCCTGGTTTAGTGTCCTGCTTTTTGCTCCTGTTGTCCATGTGTCTCTCTACTACAGCCTTTACTGGGATGGATTGTAAGTCAAGGTTACTTAGTCTTTAGGAAAGACCTTGTTAAGAGCAGACAGAGCTTCAACTTTGTATGCACAAGGCTGATGCATTGCCTGTCATGGGCCAAAAGCTCAAATGAATTTTTAATGAAACTAGTAAAACTGAAAGTGATAAATCCATTTTTTCTGTTTCTAGAGAAAGATACAGCAGACAGAAGATATGTTAGATGAGTTGAATGAAGAATTCTTTCAGCTCTCTTCTCAAACCCTAGAGCTCCAAAAAGAAGACAAACCAGGCAGACCAACTCTAAGTGATGACAGTACACTGCTGGTAAGCCCAGTAGACTAACATATCAGCTCCTGAAGTTTCCATAGTCATGGTGGTATCATGGTGGGGAGATGATGGAGTCACAACCATTTCATAGAGAGGGGTTGGGACCATAGCAGCTAGTTCTGACCAAAAGGCCTACCAAATAAAGTTAGTTTGTTCTGTTTGGCTTGACATATGGAAGACTGACCCAAGAAGATTATTGCCCCTAAAGACAGGGAAATACAGTCAAATTAGATTTGCTTGGTCTCTAAGTGATAAGCTGGAAAGAGCATAAAAAGGAGTAATAAATACAGTTGTTCCTGATGCAGCCTACTTGATAACATATGGTCTAGAACAAGAAGTTTCCAGGAGATACATCTAGATTCCTCCCCCATCTGAAGGTAGGTTTCTTGAGGCATAGACATAAGTGATTTTGGTGGGGGAAGGACAAGAGATAGAAATGATAATTCACTATTACCTGCACTGACCTCAATAAAGCTTTATTTACTGAAGTAGTCAACCTGTGGCTTTGGGGGTTTTTTTATATTTATTTTTTTATACAGCATTTAAGTGCCATTTCTCTTTACCTAAGTTTTTTGCTATGCCAGTGACTTTTCCTTGAGTTCAGTTCCACCACAACTGAGAAGAATTTATCTGTGTGCAAATAAGACAGCAGAGGAAGAGGGGAGCAAAAGGGGAGTTGTGTGATATATAATATGCATGGATGCATCCCTAGGGGGGCTGCTTTCAGAGTGAGCCTGTTTCTTGGGCCTTCAAGGATCCCCTGAACCCTCAAAGTGAGGTATCCCCATAAAAATCACAGCTGATGTCAGCCTCCATGTTCTTGCTCTGCCCATCTATTGCACTTTCCATGAACTTCAGCTAGACTCCTTCCAAAGAGGTCACCGGTGCTGAGGGTTGGATGCTCTCTAAGCAACCACTTTCTGCCTGAGACCAGCAGCTGTGACAAAGTGAAGGCACCTCCTATTAGTCATATTGAAGTATTCAAATGATAGTGATTTGGGGAAGACAAAGTAATAGGGAAACTGTTTGCTTAAAAAGACATTATATAAATATCCCTGGTATTAAGGAAGGAAAAAACACAGTGAACTCAAGGACTATAAAATGCTGCAAGATTTAATTATTCAATAATTGTTCCAAATTGTTAACCATGACAATTGTGTAATGTTATAATTAGTTGTTGTTGTGCATTAGCGTGCCACCATAAACTCAAAGAACACTGTGTTTTTATTAGTTAATGTGAGGTCAGTCCCTGAAGGTAACTTCTGGCATCTTCCCAAATGTTGGGTTGGGTGTTGATCCTGCAGAATGACAGGGTCACACAGGCCACCTGGTAGATGCAGAACTCTCAGGGGTCACATCCTTATTTTCCTTGTTTTGTTTGAATGACTGCCAGGTTGTTCTCTTGTGTGTGGCAGAGAGAAGAGCCTAACCCAAGAAGAAAGGCTCCAGGAGCCTGGGTCATGCTGTGTGACCAGGCCCTGGTGCTGGAGGTGAGACGAGCCCACCTGGCTGAGAGGATCAGAGATTTGGAATGGGAGCTGTCCCTGTTCCTCGAGGTGTCAGATGGCCAGGCACAAGCAGGAGGGTGCTTGCTCAGCCTGGGGGGACACTGAATCACACAGGATACTGCAGCAGCCATAGGAAGGAGTGTCAACACATGAAGGACATGACCAGGCTGATATTAGTCCTGGTAGGAAGGAGTGGGAGTCTGAGGGACTGGGCTTGGGTGTGTGTTTGGTTTTGTGGCATGTTCCTACCAGGTAACAAATGGTCCCATTCAGAACCTGGACATCTGTCATAATTTCTTCCTGTGATTCTTGGGGTGAGAAAAAATAAAGTCACCCCAGTAGAGAAAATCTACTTGTGTCTCCATTACTGATTCCGCCCCCCCCCCCACAAGTCTCTCATGAAGGTACTGGTCATTAGGTATTTATAGTTCACACCAAATATTCCCCAAAGCTTTCCAGGGGCGAATGGATTCAGAAGTGAGAAATGCCTGGGAGAAGCCACTGCTCAAGATTCACACCCTATCTTTTGTTGCTGCCGAGTCTTCCTGGGGACCTCACATGGACAAGTATTCCTCCTGGCTCTGAGAATCCTCTGGAGGAAAAACAGGTGGCCATGTTGGGCTCTGAGGACCTCCAGAATGGGGGAAACTCCACTTCCCCAAGTCCACCTGCACTTCCCCCCTCTGTGCCTTTGCCAGAGCAGCCTGCATCCCTTCCTCCCTTTGTCCTGCCTATTCTAACTGAGAATTTCCATCTCAGAACTCACCTTAGGCAACACCCTCCACAAAGCATGTCTTGAATGCTTCCTTAATGTCTTTGTGCTTTGAATTCTGGTGTTCTTATGTGGTGTTGGAATTCTGTTGTTTGTCTTTTTCTTGTATTAATCCATTAGCTCATTAGTTTATGCCATGTTTTATCTTACTTTCTAGAATAAAGTTCCTTAAATGCAGAATATACTACACACACTCATACATATATACACACGTGCACAAAACTTTGCACATATGGTGTATCAGGTGACCCTGAAATGCTCCATGAATATAACTGAACATATGGGTACAGCCAATAACTGAGATCACTGGTCACTTGCCACACCATCACCCAGAAAACTGTACAGAAGAAAAAAGTACCAAGACAGGGAAAGGCATTCAAGGGTGAGGGAGATAAAATCCCAGGTTGCAGCCTTAGGGACAACTTCAAGAAGAGACTGCAATTGAGCCAAGCCTTCCAGCATTTGAACATGGATATCTGGAGAAATAGAGCATTGCAGCTTTGTTAGGAGATGAGAGAGATAGAGGAGAGACAGAACAACAGGCAAATATAAGACAAAATGAATCAGGACAGAATCAGTGCAGGAAGAGGAGCTTATAGAAGAAACTGGGTGGAAACAATGTCCCAAAGTTCTGGGAATCCCTGACTCCTGGGCTTAGTACCAGTCCCCGCCAGTGTTGCTGTGCCATTGCCACAGAACTCTATCTGGCAACTTCTACCACCCAAAGTTGAGTGATCCTCACTGCAGCTAGATTGAGTCATAACTAAACTCTTGGTCCAATGTGTGTAATACACTCTGGAACTGTGCTCTAAGCAGGGCACCAGGCATCTCAAGATGTTGTTTTGGGGGAAATCAAGGTATACACCAAAGTCATGGAAGTGAGAGAATTCATCAGAGATAGAGTGGAAAACCAAAAAGGCAGATTTATTGGCATGCCCTACAAAGATGCAAGGGGTGAAATGGAGATATCATCTTTGCCTAAGGAAGGGCCTGAGATGCTCTTTTATACTCTCTTGGTTGCTAGTTTGTGCCACTTATCTGCTGGGATGTCTGGCCTTGTATGTCAACCTTTGACACAGAATATGTCCTGACTCTGCTTCCACACTCCTGGACCTCTGCAAGCCCTGGAGAAGAGGATGTTTTTATTCCCAGTTCCCATGGCAACTTTATTGATTCCTTTATTTCAAGCCTCCCAAACTTACCTTCTGGGAAAGAAGGGTTTAGTTAATAACCTTAGAAATAATACCCTTTTCTCAAGAAGACAATGACAAATTTTTGGAAATGGGGCAAAGATTTGACTTCTGTAGCTTCTTCCAGATGAATTTTGGGGCATCGAAATGGCCCTGCCTTGATTATTGTCATCTTAGGAAAGTGGGGAATGGGTGCAAAAGGCAGCAAGATGGTCACATTTGGCTTTTAGGCCAGGGTCAATTTTAGGTGTTAGGTTAGTTGTTCTGAGAAACTATGGTGGGTACCAGTTGTCCAAAATGGGCTGCCCAAGAGTGCAGGTCCGTGTGTTCTGTAACCACTTGTACCTCTAACACTTAGTACTTCGTGACCAGAGTTGTACTTTGAATGGGAATTAGGGGTACCAAGGATGGAAAGTAATCAAGATAAACAAGACCAAGTGTCCTTTCAAGAATTCCAACCAATACTGAACTGATCATATAACTGGCGGGCTTGGTTTGGGGAATTACTAAATGTGTTGTTGAACCTGTCTGGACTCATTAATCCAAAACATTTTTTTCTTAACACTCATTGTCCAGTGCTGATAAAATCGAAGGTTTGTCAGTTTTGTAAAACTACACATGCAGTTTTAGTAAATTGAGCTCTTTTTACATGACATCAAGGGAGGCTGCTATTTGTTTAATTGGCCCAGGGTGGCTGAATGATTGTCAGGCTCCTGATAAGGCCTATAGGGCCTTTTCTAGAGATAGCCTTGAGTGCCTGCAGTAGCTCCTGGCATGGGAGACTATACAATTCTATGATTCTCCTACTAGAATCAGAACTAGCTGGACTCTCCAAGTCCTGTGAAGTTTGGCAGTAATAGGGACAGCCCCCATCTCAGATGAGTAAAATATGGGAGAATATGGACCAGGGTGCAGGTGCCAGTCCAATTGATTTTGTATCAGAAGCACAAAGAATGCCCAAAGAGAAAAGAAGACACCTGGTATGTCTAATATACATAGTTCCTGTCCTTGGGCTTTTATGAGTAAACTTAGATTGGAATGTGGTGCCCTATGAAACTATAGACAGTATTAACACATGAAGTTGTATTACAGGGAGGAGGAGAAGGAGCTGGACTCCCAAAAGGCAGTGCTTTAAAATAAGTCAATAAAGAATCTTCTTTGAGTCATATTAGATAGTTGGATACAACTTGTAGAAACCCTGTTCATGTTAGTTAAAGTAGAAAATGGGTTACAGGACAAGATAAGGTGGTAAGAGCAGGATTTCCTTAAGTAGAGGAGTAAGGAGGTATAGTGAGGTGGTCAGTGCCTTCCAGGAGGTTTCCTATGGTAAGACTACTTAGATAAGTCTATATGTGAGATTACAATTTAGGGGATTTATGATCCATGGAGTGTTATCTTGGGAAATTAAGACTAGAGCAGATATAAAGTAAAGCTGGATGTTGTAGGCATAGCCTGGGATAGATAGGTCCCCTAGTAGTTGTGAGTTTTGTTTGTCTCCCAAGTATGCATAATTTCCTGTGTTTTGTACAGTGTAGTGTATGAACACCAGAGAGATGAGCTCATGTCCACTGTGGCTGGAGCCATAGCCAATGGGGGCGGGTTGGGGGGGGGGGCGTGAGACAGATTTGGATAGGCAGACAAGGCTATCTAGTAAAACACCAACAGGACATAAATTTCAAGCAGGAGTGAATGAAGCTTGTGGTCCCTACTGGGCAGATATAACTAATTAGCATGGAATATTTCCCAGCAAGTAAACCCTATAACCATGCACTTCAGCGGCAACCTATTCAGGCCCCCTTCCTGCTATAGAGAGTTTTTCTATCACTTAAATAAACTTACTAAGCTCATTCCTTTCCATGGTCTGTGTCCTCAATTTTCTTGGGCATGAGACAAGAGTCTAGCCAAGATGGTACCACACCCTCATGGTAAGACAGTAGTTAATCAGCCTTTGGAGAGATGAGTTTAAATTAAATATTGGTGGTATTAATGTTACAATTTGGCCATAAGCAAGGTTAAGGTGAACAAGTAGAGGAACAGAGCTGCATAGAAAGACATAATACAGAGAGGACTTTAGCAATTATTCCTAAGATGGATTCTGATGTGTGAGTATATTTTACTTATCTGGTTTGTGGCTAAAGAGAAAGAAACCTTCTTTAATTGGCTCACACATGTACACTGAAGGGGGGATTTTTCAGTAGAAGCAAGCTTTGACTCCAGATAGATGTGTTCATACACCATGTCCCTGGAGCTTGACCACTGTTGGTGTGTGGAGGACTTGAAGAGTACCCATACAGACAGGTTGAAGGAGCTTTATATACGAGGCAAGATTTTAAGGAGGATGCTGTCTCCTGGACAAATCTTAAGTGGGGAGAAAATATCTGGCCTAAGGCTGTTAGCATCTGGAGAGTCATGGGACTTAATAATTAAAAACTTTTGTATGAGTCCCTTTCCAGTCTCTGGTTTGAGGGGATCCTGTGGCTCCTGGGGAAAATATAATTGCCCCTAACAAGGGTAGTTAATGTATCTTAGCCAGGAAATGTAGTGTCCCAGAGGTCTGGAGGTCCCAGAATGGGGCCTCTATTTTTATCACCTAGAGTGGTAGCTAAGAAAATCAATAGTTGCTGTGGAGATTTTACTAATTCTACTAAATACATTTGGAGTTGGTTATGATGTTCCCTCCTAATGTTAGTGGGAATAACGAGGGACATCCCAGGGACCTCCAAACCTGCCTTCTCTAAAAAGCTTCTGCCACCCACCACATAAAGACCAAACATACTTAGAGAGTAATAACTTTAATAGAAAATTTTGTTAGAATTGGTGTGCAACAGAAAGAAGATAATAGTTTCCAACTAATCCCTAAAGTTACCCATTCCCTCATAGGTGAAGATCCAGCCAAATAAGTTTGTGCCAAAGCAGAACCACTGAGGCCCAAAAGCTTGCCACAAACCGAAGTCACCTTCTAGAGGGAACACATCAGAAGAGGCAGAAGGGCCAACATAAATCTGGAAGGGAAAGAGTGAAATCAAAATCCAAGTCAAGATAAGGGTTGCCAGTGTCAACCTCTCTATACTGTTTTTCCATGTTTCCCAAGACTCTGTGACAGTACAAGGCAGAGAAACAAGTGTGACTTCTTTACATGCCTCTTTGCATAATGTACTTTGTCGGAGACTCTTTGTCCCTGATCACGGATTATTGGGGGGCAGAATAGGCAGGGTCTTAAGATGGGAACAGCGTCAGCGAGCAGAGATTCCTAGAAAAGGGGGGAAAGGGGGGAAAAGGGGAGCAGGTGTGAGGAAGACACGGGAATGGGAGCTGGGTGTAAGTCTTCCTGCTCTGTCTTCAGCAG